ATAGTATAGTATATATATATATATATATATATATATATATATATATATATATGTGTGTGTGTGTGTGTGTGTGTGTGTGTGTGTGTATATATATATATATTCAATATACAATACACAGCCTTCATGTCGATATGGTGAAGTGGCTATTGTGTACACGATGTGATATTTTAAAGTCCGTATTCGCCGCGTGTTTTTGTCGTCGAGAGCTAGCGATCTGTATAGCCTCACTGAAGCACGCCCCATTTCGTTTCCGCGCTTCTTTCAGCTTGAGAACCAGCGAGACGAATTACCTCAACGAAGCGTTCTCGTTCTACTCTGCCATCAAGGCCCGCGCGTACTACTCCAAGGCGACGCGGGAAGACAGGTGAGTGAGGGGGCGTCTCTATAGCACGTATTATGTGTCGAGTGTGATATCCGGGAATGTTTAACTATAACTATAATATATTTTAATGTAATATAATCAAGAACCCATTAACCCTTCTATAATGGGGGTTAATGAGCTCTTGATATAATGTATTATAATATAATATAATGTGATATAATATAATCATACAATAGATATTATACTACAATTAATGGCGCTGACAGTTTGTCTAGCGCTCGGCGAGTCGTAATGGATTGATGTTCGCGGGCGTTCTATTCGGTGAAGACCTCATCAGTCGTGATTTACGCAGCGAGTGTATGTGTGTGTGTGTGTGTGTGTGCGCGGCCGCCTATTGTCTGCCTTGTACCCGCACGTTTACTACGCGGTCGGGTTACGGCATGTGCACACAGCAGTGGGTGTTGCTATCCCCCGGGCGTAGAGGGACAGTCACGTGATACTGTTGACGTATACTTCAAAGTCCAAATCTTCCACAGAAAGATTCCACAGTCATACTTCCGTACTAGACATGGCCTTATATCCCTAACCCTAACCCTAACCCTAACCCTAACCCTAACCCTGATCCTAACCCTAATCCTAACACTAGTGCTGCCACATTGCGGTACTGTCCCTCCACGCCCGGGGGATAGCATTTCCCCACAGCAGTGGCTCCGCATCGCGCTTTAACTCCATTTCGAGCGATGCAGCAACAATCCGCAACAATAATAGAACAATCCGACTGCGTTTCCTACGTGATGTTTCGCTGCACTGCGCGGGTTAATGCGCGGCCGCCGGCGCGCCTTCTCCGGATTCGAAACGTAAATGCTGCGAGTGAGCTTTCATGGCTCTCGGTGGATGCGCCTTTATTGTGGCGGGAAGTTGGGAACCGTAACTCGCCGGTAGTCTCGGCTGACGTTCTGCCGGCAGTCGAGTGGTGTCGGCTCAACTCGGCTGCCGCGGCGGGGAGGCTGCAAAAACCCGCCGTTGCGCGCTGGAAATTTGGTTCGGTCGTTCGCGAGATTCGGATCAGTTATCGAATGTTGGCTTTTGTGTCCCTTCACGGACGTTTAGTCTTCAATTGCCATGCTGTTTTACTGTTAACTAGATTGTGTGGTAAACGCAATGATACTGTCTGTAGCCTGCTGTCTGTCTGTCTCTCTCCCTCTCTCTCCATCTCTTTCTCTCGTTCTCTTTATATTTTTTATCGTATTTCTTCGTATGCCTCCTTTCTCTCGCTCTCGCTCTCTCTCTCTCTCTCTCTCTCTCTCTCTCTCTCTCTCTCTCTCTCTCGCTCTCTCCTCTCTCATCTCTCTTCCTCTCTCTCTCTCTCTCTCTCTCTCTCTCTCTCTCTCTCTTCTTTCTCGCTCTCTCTCTCTCTCTCTCTCTCTCTCTCTTCTCGCCTCTCGCCTCTCGCTGCTCTCTCTCTCGTCTTTCTCTCTCTGCTCTCTCCTCTCTCTCTCTCTCTCTCTCTTCCCTCTCTCTGTCTCTCTGCTATTTTTCACATTTCTTTATAAGCCATTAGGAATCAAGTGCTTCATGCTTGTCCAGCAATAATGCTTGTTCAAATTTGCTTTCAGACACCATTAGGTATCCTCACTAAGCATTTGTTTAACGGCCAGGTAGAGAATAGCCGAACTATATAAATCGACGAGCGGCCTGCTGTCCGCCAGTGATGTTCTAGCTTCCTCTAGCCTGTCACTCACTTTTTCCCTCGTTGCTTTGGTGTGTGTGTGTGTGTGTGTGTGTGCGTGTGCGGCGGTAGCGTGTGCGTGTGCCCGACGGCTGCTCAAGGTGGCGGCGGCTGTGCGTGTGTGCTGTGCGTGTGCGTCCGTGCGTGCTGCGTGCGTGCGTGTGCGGTTCGTGGCTGCGCGCGTGTGCGACCGTCTGCGGCTCCGGTGCATCGGCGCGGGCGGGTCCGGCTGCGCTAGGTGTGCGTGTGAGTGAGTGCCATTTTTAGCTCATCTGATCGATAGTCAGCATCGCAGCTTAGATAGAATCGCATGCTATTGTCCGTCCGTCCGTCCGGTCGTGCGTACGTCCGTTCAACAGTCCCCCCCCCCCCCCGCCTCTCGCCCCGCTGTTGGGCACTAAAATCTAAACGGCTCACGTACGGTTCACGATATTCGGGACCGTGGGGGGAGGTGGGCGGTAATCGAAAACGAGGTCGGGCCATGTCGAAGCTGGGGCCGTCAAAGACTCAAAGGTCAAGAGTTGTAAAAAAAGGGGAAACATTACCCTCCTTAAAACTTAAGGTATTAAAGAGGAAATGCAGAATTGCGCACAAATTCTACAACGGCTCGACCTTAGGCTCGTGATAGTCGTGTTATAGATCATGGTAGGAAAAGCCATCACTGGTGGGCCGAAATTGGAGGTCACAGCGTCAAAAGTCATGGGGACACCCGAGGGCAGATTTTAGACATTTTCTGAGGACAATGGATCTGACGTGAGCGATTGAAAAATTCTTTTTGTTTGCAGCGGTACGTGGCCATTTTTATGCGTTTTTATTGAAAGGACCATGAAAATGTTTTCCGGCTGAATATGGCAAGAGTACAGGTCGGATAACCTTTTGACCCTCAAGAGGAGGGTAAACATGGATTTGGTTGACTGGTTAACAAAGACTGAAGCTGCCCTTTTGCTATTGTGCGATGTGACGGGCTACAGTTGCACAGTTTCAATTGCAAGACAAATGTTTGTTTGAAGCAAGGTTATGCTCTTTAAATCATACTGAGTTTCTAAAGCAATCTGGTATTAGCACCCTGAGTAGCACCCTGTATTAGCACACCTGTTAGATGAACCCTGAACTGCTCGCGTGGGTAGGCAAAAACATGGGAAGGCAGGCCGCAATTACGCATGGCATCGGGTGGTGAACTGGCCAAATATTCTATCATAATTATTGGCCTGGCCTACTGCAGAATGCAGATGGTGTTAACTCACAGCTGAGCGAAATCTCGCCGCCTGAATATACTTGGATTTCAAGGCAACTCAATGGAGTTGAGGTTATCAACGCCACGAAGGGTTGATGCCATCTTCATTATGATTACACTTGCAGACGCGCCATCTCGCGTCAGACCTATGGCCTAGTTTAAATTAGATTATTTTAATGTAAACTTTGTACATGTAGACGAATAAATAGTACAGAACTATGACGTACCCCGGGATGTAATAACTATATTTACTTTTATCTTGAATCTTAACACATATTCATGTAGCTATGGCCGTGCGTACTCCCTTTAGCCAGTATGCGAACCATACGCTGTTACCCCCATAGAAATATTAGTAGACACTATATGTTTATCCATTTTATGGCTGCTTACACTCAGGACGGCCGCGCCAAAAATAGAAACGAAAGTATTATTTGAGACGGTGGCCAGTTAAAAGCATCCGCTGGCTGTTTTTATTTATTTATATAATTTAAGAGAGAGAGAAAGTCTAAGCATAAAGAGCGAGAGAGATGTAGAGAGTTAGTAAATTGAGACAGGGACAGGAGAAACGGTGATACGGTTGTATTCTGCGAGCAGGAAAACGGGGTACAATTAGGTCGTTCGAGATCGTGGTGGCAAGGGGATGGGAGTGGGAGGCAGGCAGGGAGGGAAGGCGCGAAGGCAGGGGAGGGAGATAAGGAGGTAAGGGGTGGAAGTGTAGAGGCAAGGCGGAGTGAAGTGGCGAGCAGGGGGGAGGGAGGGGCAGGAGGAGGAGGGAGCGTGAGTGGACGCAGGGCGGAGGGAGGTGGGAGAGAAAGAACCCGCCCCCTCTAATTAAACTTGGAGATCCATGCTCATATGTTGAAATCTTTTATTGTCAACGTCAAATGTCATTCATTAACTTGTATTTGAATTGTTATTATTGTTCTTGTTATAGAATTAGGCCACTCTCAGAGATTAGGTGGGTGCGAAAGTGTAGCTGATATATTTGTTCGAATTGGCTGCAAAAGTCAAACAAGAATAAAGAAGACTTATGTATAAGACGTCTTGCTATTCACAAATGAATTTATCAGCAGAACACCAGACACCAGATGAGCCCTGTCGCACTGCGGCACTTGTTCAAATATCACTAGTTGCCGAAATAGTCCAGATATTTTCTTGAGGCCACACTGAAGACTGAGCCTGGTGGTGTAGTTTAGGTTTGTGATGTACTCCAATTAGGTTCGTTAATTAGATGGACTTTAGCTTGCTAGTACTACACCTACCATTTATAGAAGCCTCACTAACTTGCTCGTCTTTGAATACGCTTAATATTTGATGCATCTTTATTGATTACAGTGCACAATCCATTCGTAATAGAAACAAAACTAGTTATCTCGGCTCGTGGGATAGAATCGTATAAATCCCATAAAATATATAATCCTGAAATGCTGTACGTGCTAACGCGAACCACGAAACGAGAATGATCAGAACTCGGCAGCGGAGAAGGCCTAGCAGTCGACGCGAGGCGGATGCGGCATGCCGAATCCCAAGGCTTGCGCTTCCTCTTCGTCTCTGCTCTCCTTACGGCGGCTCGTCCGCCTTCCTTGTGTCTGCCTAACAAGCAGAAGTACAGCTGCAGAGTCGGGGAGGGGGGGGGGGATGCTGAAGTTAGTTTAATCCGAGAAGGCTCTGAATCGGTACAGGGCTTCAGCTTCAGACATGCTCTGGGGGGGGGGAGCACGTAACCCTTTCAGCGGTCTCTGCGTGTGTCTACTGCCGACGTGTGGCTGCATGAGCTAGAAACACTCTCACTCGACAAAAGCAGGTTGAGTGCGTGCGCACGTGTCGAGTCGGGTGCACGTAGTCCGCCCGGTGGGGCCCCTCAGCGTTTATCCCGACCACTTCTCTATCCACTCACGGAACTTCTACACGGGAGCCTTTCAATTAGAAGCATCACTGAGCACTCGCCACTGAGCACTCTTTCGCGGCAGATGCAAGGTGTTAGGCTAAAATGCGAAGTCCCTGGTGACGACCGATTGCGGAAGATCTTGAAAAAATTGCCGCATGCTGCATCGCTGCTCTGTCGTGGGGATCGAAATGTGAGACAAGGAAAAACGAGCTGTACGCGTGGTTTTTACTTTGCTAACTAAACTGACCAAATATGAGTTTTTCTCTGGCTGAACTAACCTTGTTTACAATTCAAATTCAATTATCTAACAGAACATCGCTGTTTGATGTGCACACAAGCGGAAGACCATTAGCAGCCCAGGGCGTAATATATCGTGTGATATTTGGCCGGAAAATAATTTACTCAATCGTATTTAAATGTCAGAGTAGCAAGCTCAATTTCATTAATTTTAAATTGAAATTGTTCTGGCAGTGAGCTTAGTCATTAGCGTTATTCACACTGCAATGGAAACGCAAACGTAATATGACAAAATTATAAAAACCATCAATATTTTTAGGTAAATTAGTTGCGTTTTATACTACGTCTACTACTACTACTACTGCTACTGCTACTGCTACTGCTACTGCTGCTGCTGCTGCTGCTGCTTGCTGCTACGGCTACGGCTACGGCTACGGCTACGGCTACGGCTACGACCACTACTACTACGTATTGTTTGTCTTGTTGCAATAGGGATATTGAAAAATATGATTTTACAGTTGTCGGGTTTTCTGTTGCTGCATGCCGCACCTAGCTAGGGAATCACAATGGTTGCGCTAATGTGTTTTGGTTTAGCGGGGAATAGCAGAACGATTTTTAATTGCTAATCGATTCCATAATAAATTAATATTTTAAGTTGTCGTATTAACATTATGCCAGCAACAGAGTTAGCACCAGTAATGGTAAAGTGGTCCATGTGTTTTCGAAAAAAAAGAAGTTCTGCACGTCGCTGTGTGTTTACCGCTTATTTTTAACCTGGGGATGACCACTTAATCAGGACATTTTCGTGGTTAATGTGGGTACCACCATAACTAGCAGCTTTTAAAGTAGATTTTGTAAGAAATCTTACACGAGGTGGGTTACTTGGAGTCGAGGTGTAACAACATGTTGTCGTAGCTGAGCATAGGGAAGTAAGGGGGCTGGCTGCCTCGACGCACTGTCGCGCTGGAAAGACACTTCTGCGTCGGGTGGACGTAATTAATTTTCCGTCCCGTCAAATGAACGAGCCCGGTGACAGGTATATATATATATATATACTGGCGAGGAAAGAGCGTGAACATATGAGCAGAATTTGGGGAACGTACCGAACGAAATTCAACATGCGACTCACGCAAGATTTCACGTGGCGCCATTGAACCGTGATTTTTATTTCTGTCGCGCATTTTGTCGCCATCGCAAAATTACCGGCGGCGGTGTAATCAGATTAGTTTTTCGAGCAGATAGTTTCGCATTATACATAATTATATCAAGAATGTGGGTGTCTGCTGGGCGTGTGTGTGAGGTGGGGGGGTACTCGTCTGTCCACAGCTGCTGTCCCTCTGCTGGCTGCCTGCTTCACGCCATCTTCAGAAAGTTCCAGGTTTTCTCGTAACGCATGTCGCAGTGATACGATGTTTATGGATGAATCCGAAAGAATATCCGTGTTAGAGTAGCAGTGCGGTACTGATGTGTGTGTGTGTGTGTGTGTGTGTGCGTGCGTGTGTGCGTGCGTTCGTGAGTGTCTGCATGTATGCTTGCATGTGTCTTCCGTGGACGCTTCCTGCCTTGCGATACCCAGTGCACAGCATGCTGCAGTCTCGCCCGCATGATGCCTTCGCAACGTGCGCGCACCTACGTGTGTGAAATGTGTCTCGTGGTTTTTCACTCACAGCATCTCTGGCAGGCCAGACTTAATGGTGAAGAAGCTGCGCTACTATGCGAGGTTCATCGTTGTCTGCCTGCTGCTGAAGAAGATGAAGATGGTGCGGGAACTAGTCAGGGTAAGGCTCACCGACTCCTTCTTTCTTCCCACCTAGACGAGCTGTGCAATAAAAATAATGTCATAATGTAAATATTAAAACTTTGAAAAATTTGAAAAATATAAAAGATGCATGAAAAATAAAATAAAGTATTGTGAAAAATATGAAATATATAACTGAGATTCGCGTGATAAAAGAATCGCATGAGGTGAAGGGAGCAGTCATGAAGGAGGGTGAGAGGGAGTGGTTGCGAGATGAAAGGACAGTGGATCTAGTAAAAGGAAGAGGGAGAAGGAGAAAGCAAGTTTCTAATTTTATTCACGAGTACTTATTCTTTTGTATTTCTACAAGGAATGAGTAGTTAAACATTAAGCCAGTAACCGCAAGAGCTTCTGAAATTATAATAATCATCACTGTTATTAACTCCAACAACATTTTTTAATCTTCATAGCTCTTATAACTCCAGCAAACATTTTGATCACTGCTGCTTTAACGACTTCAGCAACATTGTTATGCTTTGTTGCTGTTATACGACCAGCAACATAATTATTCCTGTCATTGCCAACTTCATTGCGAGGACTGTCCAGTTCATGAATTTAAACGTTGCGTTGCTAACGGCTGCATTCATGCCGGTGATCGCTAAAGTATCTGTGAAGGATGAGGCCTTTCATGCTGTCATCTAGAATAAATGTCTCTTTAAGATGGCCAGGAAATAATCAGCGCAAATGGCCGCCGCCGCGAGCATAATTCGCCGGCTGGCCGTGCCGTGCCAGATAACGGCACTGTACGTCGCTATGGCCGCATCGAGGAAATAAAACCTGGACGGTTAGCGGCTCCCGCCGCGGCGATTCCGCCAGAGCCGCCTACTTACGCTTAGACATCCTCACATTGTTGCCTCTACACGGGAGAGCCCGGCAAGAGCCTTGTGGGGAGGGGGGTATGGGATTGCGGAGAGTAGCTTTGCACTTGCGAACAGGAAAGCGGGTATTTACGCGAAGACATCCTCGCATTCTCGCCTCCGCATGGCAGGGTCCATCAAAAAGCTTGCAGGGGCGGGCGAGGCGGGGTGTACGGGATTGCGGAGCGTGGCTTCGCGTTTGTGAACGGGAAAGCGGGTGTTTCCTTATATAGCTAGTGCTACTTATCGAACCCATCATGGCGGGGATCCCGCGTGCACGTTGCTAACGAAGCGCGCGGCAACCGGCGGGGCTTGCGTCTGCCGCCCGCCGCCAGCAACTGCTTATTAGCGGAGTCCGCAGGCAGATGGTCGACGTAAATGTCGGCGTGTGTGCGCGCGCGTGCGATGCCGTTAAAAGCCCCCGAGTTAATTTTCCTAAGTCGGAGAGCGCGTTGCGAATTCTGAAAGGTTTCTATATTAGATTTGGGGCCGGGTTCAGTATGTTTTTGATGTGTAGTGGATTACGGTTTCGTAGAAATGCTCACTACTGATGTCGATTTTCTTTGACTGGTTTTGATGTCGGTCATCTGCTCACCGATTTCGTCCTTGTTCATTAATGCAGGAGTTGTCACGCCAGATTGAGGACTACACTGCCACCTATGAGCCAGATGATCAACTAGAGTGGTCGCTAGTACTAGGTGAAATCAAAGGCTTTGTTGAGGTATGCAGGCACTTTACTCGTTGAGAGTGGCGAGCATGCAAGCGTGGAGATTCATGGCAGTGTGATTCTGCTTTAATTCTAAAGTTGTCTTTCGTAATCGTTCGGAGTTGATAGATCACTGACAACCTAATCACCGAGGATTGATGCTAGTTGTACCTTTTTACACAGGCTGATAACTTGGCAAAAGTATTAGACACAGATCTGAATGCTCTTGTGTTGACACATCGACTTAGCCCGCTCAATCTGCCACCTATTGAGAAGGGAATGCCCGTTCCATTCACTCTGCAAGAAATACTTATTATAGGAAATTGTGCTGAGCAGGTATGCATTCTATGTAGATCATCTAATGTCCATTATTTACATCTCATAGGTTTCAATTCTTGGTCATTGTCTCAGTAGTCAGTTTGCATTAACGTGCGGGTACCATCAATCAATCGTACTATCGTGTGTACTATCATCAAGAGTAGTGATTGTAGTATCGTGTAGGATGCTCACAAAAGGCTGTAGTAGCAACGTTAGCACCCATGTTAGCACTTACCTATAGAGCATCTGTTGGTCACTACAAACTAACTCTCCCGCGGTCATCGTCGACGTTAATTGGCCGCTCGGCATTCTCTCATCCAGATCAAATTCAGCGAGTTGACGTTGGACATGTACAGAATGTTGCAGACGTTTGAGAGGGAGCCCCAGGAGGAGGTCAGCCCGCAGATGTTTGACCAGTCCCCCGCGCCCGGACGCCCACCGCTCGTGAGTACGGCATGCGCCGAGGTCGATTGGCCACGCTGGTTTTATAAGCGCGCTTCTCAGGGCCGGAGGGTCGGCGAGAGATTGCCATCGAGGGATGGCGATGTCGATCTCTGTCGTACGCCTGTGTTGATTCGAGCTCGCTCTCAGGTGCTGTGTATCCCTTAGTTACCTCTTTATGTGCGCGAGCTGCGGAGTAAATGGTAACCGCACCTGTATGTATTGTGTGCATATACGTGTTTGCATATGTGCATGCGTGCATGCGTGCGTGCGTGCGTGCGTGCGTGCATATGTGTGTGCATGCATGTGTGCGTGCATACATGCGTATGTGTGCGCGTATCCATCTGTGTGTGCGTGCATGCATGTCTGGCAGTTAATATACCCTTTTTATTCAATGTCGGTGAACAATAGGTAATACGTCAGGACACAGATGGGAGATTAGGCAAAAGAGACAACCCACACAAATACCTGCTATACAAGCCCTCGTTCAGCCAGCTATTCGTATTCCTAGCGTCAGGTTTTAAAGAGCTTCCGCCTGGGGGAGCCATGTGCGTGTATCTGTCTGCAGATGGCGCCAGCGGCTCAGGAGCATTGAAACCTTCCCCGGACAGTACGTGCTACCACATAATTGACAAATCTTTAACTGTTTCCTTTAAGCTTTCACTGCTTTGCGTGCTAGGAATGTTATCAGCTAGGAATGTTATCATTCCGACCCTTCTGGCAGATTTGCTTCGTGAGAATGATAAATAAATACTCTGCTGTCTGTTTTCTGTTAATGGGTTACGTGCTTTGCAAACACGAATTTGTACCTTCTCTTGCCACGAGGGGGCACCAGTTGTCTGATTTAAGTGCTTGGTGTTTCAGTGGCATTTGACTATGGCGGTATCAGCTGCTCCTCAAAGAAGGAACCTGAGCACATAATCAAGAAGCCTGCATCAATAAAGGACATGCATTGGTAAGAGAAATGCATGTATTCCGCTGTTAAACATTCTTGCTAGACAGGTCATGATGTCTGGTTGGTGTTTAATGGTAAGACAGCTTAGCGAAGTATGTTGGAAAGCTGTAGCCTATGAAATGGCTGTATTGATTTTGTGCGACAGTTATTGGAGTTTATAGGGATGCACACCCCCTAAGGGCTAATGGCCACTCTATATATAGCATAGGGGCAAAGTAACCATCATAAATATATATATATTTATATACGCTCAAATTCTCAGCCGCCAGACAGAAATTGGCCCAAAACACTGCCTCGCTGACGAAAATCACTGTTCTTTCATCAGTAAACTACACTTTATTGAACTAAAATGGAATAGTCTCATACAATGCGTTCAGAATAGCTTAGAATACACCAAATTGTACAATTTATTCACAAAATTGCGGAGTTTGCTTTGCTAGGACCTCGAAACGCGCAAATGCACCAAAAAAATTTACCACCTCTCAGACCTTTTTGGCCAGGGGAATCACTGTATATATATATATATATATATATGTAATATATATATATATTATATATATATAATCATAGACATAAGCTGCGTAGACACGAGGGGAAAAGTTGCGTTCACACGCTAAAATATACGCGGCTTCCTTAGCCACGGCTTGCTTAGCCGCGAATGCTCCGGCTTGCTAAGCGCGGAATCATATTCCGCGCCAACTAAGCCGCGTATATTCGGCACCACGCTGGCCGCGTATTTGATTGTCTTGTGAACCTAGACTGCTACCCGTTCGCTGCACGACGTTAGGGTAGCGTGTGGAACTGTCGACCGGGTACCAGTCTATATTATACCGCGCTAGCTAAGCCTCGAATCTCGTGTATCTCGTGTGAACGCATTTTAACAGGACTTAGCACCAACTAAGTACGGTACCAGCTAAGCCGTGTATACGTGTGAACGCAGCTATATACACTTCACTGAGAGGTATTTTCTATTTTATATTCTCATCGCTGCAATTCTCAAAACGTCGTGTAATAGTTCTAAGAGTCGAAAATGAAATTTGCAAACCGATCCAATTAAAATCCGGGCTAGACCCTTGTTGCTTTAGGATCTGGGACGTCTGCACTACGCGGCCGTAGCAATGGATGGAAGACTTAGTGTGCCTCCATTGGTTTCTCTGTTGACAGTTTACACCCAGGCGATCTATATCCGTTCTCTCGGAAGCCCCTGTTTCTAATCGTCGACAGCGACAACAGCAGCACATTCCAACACATGCCAAACCTCTTTGGCCAGCCTTTAGTGATTCTCATGTCTCCCGAGCAAGTGCCATCAAATATACATGGTGAGTAATGATGTGGAAATATCTGGGCCTAACATTGAATAACACTTTTTTTTCGTTTTCATCTTGTTTTTTTCATATCATTCGATTGACTGACTCATAGAAACATCATAAATAGATATGACATCATGAAAGTCAAAAATGTCAACGTTTTCATGACAGCTCACTTTATATGTCGTGACATTTTTGGTTCGTGACGTCGTAACTGCTTACAACGTTTCTGACGGTGGGTCCCATGAGAACGATGACGGTTAAGATGCAGTGGTAGCGATGATGAAAAAAGCAGAGGATCAAGAAAACACAAACGATCGTAATGACAAAAATGTGACCTCGTTTGTGACACGAACATTATTTGCTGACATCTAAGCCACGTCCTAAATGTTTCTTTTCCGTCATCATCCGTTCATCCTCTCATTCATCATCGACTGTTAAAAGCAATACTCCCGAAGATTCCTATCAACGATCATCTGCCGATGTCGTGTTGTCGACGGTAATTTTGCGCGATGCCGCACCAGTAATGTGACGGGTAACCGCGTCTGTCCACAGAGCAACGACACCGCGGCAATCTCTTCACACTGTTCCTACACAGTCCGCTGACAGCTTTCTGCTACGTATGCGGCATCAGCGAGATACACATAGAGCTGTGGGACAAGGCGCAGGCCGTCATACGAAAGATGTTCGTCGAGATAAGCCGTACGGTTGCGCACTCGCGCACGTTAGGTAAGCGGAGTACTCGGTCGTCGTAGCGACGCTGCCTCCATCGCCCCCCAGCGAACGGAAACGCATTACTACTGAGTTTGCTGGGACAAACCGCTTACCGTGTTGTCAGTGGACTTCCAAGTCCCTGCCGAGTACACTGATGCCGTGACAGACCATTGCGTGCCATCTCCCAGGCATTCATTCACGGACTCGGGCATTCCCGTCTCAAAAATTCTGCGCCGTTTTCGTTGATCACTCTGTGCGCGTTTTGAGAGATGATCGCGGGTATGGTGCACAGGTCTCATGGGTGTGCCCACACCGTGCTCGATCGGCTCTCCCGTGACTACGTTGCTACAGCGGAGTGAGTGCTACGTGTGAGCAGGATAGCTGAGCACGGCGGGCATGCGTCGCGGTCTCAGGGTGGCGGTCGCGAGCCGAGTCACGAGCGCGTTTATGGGCAATTGATTAATTCAAGTTGAGACAATTGATTTGCGCCATGCCGTTTCAGACACGTCGTACCTGCAGTTCTATGGCGACGACTTTCTGCGCCTCGTCATCCTGCGCTTCATCTTCTGCTGCAACGTTGTCTACCTGCACCGGGGCTTTAAGGTATGCAGGCGGGTGGTGGTGTGGGTTTAACACGCAGGTATAGGGTTGCCGGTTATACCTGATCCAGGGCTTTAAGGTACGCGGGTGGGTGGTGATGGTAGTGGTGTGTGGGGTGGTGGTGTGGGTTTAACACGTGGGTATAGGGTCGCCGGTTATACCTGCGCAGGGGCTTCAAGGTATGCGGGTGGGTGGGAGGTAACACGCAGGTGGTGGTGGGGGTAGGGTCGCTGGTTATAACTGCACCAGGGCTTCAAGATACTCATGCGGGTGGTGGTAGTGGTGGTGGGTGGGTGTGGTGGGGTGGGGTGGGGTGGATGTGTGTGTATAGGGGGGGGGGGTAACACGTGGGTGTAGGGGCGCCGGTTATACCTGCACAGGGGGTTCAAGGTACGTGGATGGGCGGAAGGATTAAAATGCGGACATAGAGTCGTAGGTCCTACCTGCACACGGGCTTCACGGTATGCGGGTGGTTGGGTTAGTTAACACGTGGACGTAGGGTCTTAGGTTCTACCTGGCAGATGCTTTAAGTTACACGAGTTTTTATGGGGGTTAATGTAAAAATGTAGGGTTGTCCGTCTGCGGTGGATCGTGTTAAAAGGCGTGTGTGACTGTGTACGATTTTTTCTTTCACCATCAGGAATTGCTCTTCGCCCATTTCCCCCAGGCTGTTAGCTACTAAATTTCTATCGAATAGGTTTATGTTCGTTTTAGCCGCACCACATATTTTTTCCTACCGAGGCCCGCTGTTCAATTTTGGATCAGCTTTATGCTGCAATCTGATTAAGTAATCAATTTGCGATCTCAAATGAATAGATTCTGCCTGCGTTTACCATTTTAAGTGAGATCAGTTAATCTTTGCAATTAGGACATAATTAATTATGTATTATCTTTCGTGAGTAGACTAAATTCAATTTTTAAGAAGGGGGTTTGTGAGATTGTGTCTGCACTGGCTTGTGGAAATAGAATGTAGGAAGAAATGTGTGTGCGTGCGTGCGTGCGTGCGTGCGTGCGTGCGTGCGTGCGTGTGAGTGTGTGCAAGCGCGAACACGCATGTATGTACATCAGGAGTAGATAATAGGGAAGGAGTGTGACTTCAATTAACAAGGAAAATTCGTCATTTACTAGCCTTAGAATACCTACGATTTACTACGCGTAACTCAACCAACTTGTACACAGTACATTCGCCTAGCATCGTGCGAAATCGTTTCCTCATATACACCAGCAATTCAGAGATACAGACTAAAACGTACGACACGATTATCCATTCTTTGGCCATCAATCCGAACGTATTCCCCGCCGAACTCGAAACAAAAGGCAGCTACTAACGCACTGTCGCTCACTCGGCGAGATAAGTTTTGACCCAGCATACAGCTACATATCGGCATACAGCTGGTATGCCCCCCACGCACGCACACCTACCGCAATCAGCACCAGCTCCAGCTCCAATCTTCCAGCGAGCCACACCGCTTCACCGTGTGAGCAAGAGTGCGTTAGTAGCTGCCTTTTGTTTCAAGTTCGGCGGGAAATACGTTCGGATTGATGGCCAAAGAATGGATAATCGTGTCGTACGTTTTAGTCTGTATCTCCGGATTGTGGGTGTATACGAGGAAACAATTTCGCACGATCCTAGGCGAATGTACTGTGTACGATTTGAGCTCAAGTTGGTTGAGTTACGCGTAGTAAATCGTAGGTATTCTAAGTCTAGTAAATGACGAATTTCCCTTGTTTATTGAAGTCACACTCCTTCCCTTTTATCTACTCCTGATGTACATCCATTATGTGTGCGTGCGTGCGAGTATTTGTAAAACTGTGCAGCATGCCCACAACAAGTGCGTAGGCCTGATTTGTGTGAGAAGATGTAATACAATCATAGAACCCCGGCCGTAGATATGTCAGCAGCCTGTGCAGCATGCTATTCATCCTCCCTATGGCTTCTATATCCCCCCACCTTCACATCGTGCATGCGGAATAAATGTGAAATCCCCATGCTCATGCACAGTAGAGCAGGGGGGACGTATGCCATAAGGGGAATGTATACGATACTACACCTGCACACTTGCGCACAGCTTGTACACCTGCAGGAGCTCACGTAGAGTTGTTCGTCGTCTCTGCTGCAGGGATTCACGCCGCTGTGCCAGCCTCCGATTCCGCGCGACGAGTTCCTCGACAACGTCGCTCTCCACCGATACGTGTTTGACCTCGCCACGATGCTGAACGTGCGATCGCAGCTGCAGGAGGAAAGCGGAGTCGGCGGATAATCGCGAGACGACGCTAGGCGACCCGCGCTGGTGTGCTGACGACGCGGCACGGCGGCCGCTTCTACGCTCGCGAAGAGACGTACGCGTTTCCGACGTGCGCGTTTCCGTGGCCTGTTGGTGCGGTTTAGACGCGGACGACTTGGCGTCGGGTTGTCGCGCCGGGTTGGGGTGGGGCGCGCGGTCTCACGCAGTGAGAGTCACGCTCTGTTCGACGCTGTAACGAGATTCCATCGTTAGCCCCTCATCAAGAGTCTGTCTCCCACGCGGTAATCGTCGAGGCACCGTCCGAGTCGCCGAGTCTGGCGCGCATTCTCGTCGGAGGCGAAGGATGTTGGCGACGGTGAGGGGCGGCGGCAGTCTAAAGTCAGGCCGCACGTGCTCAGGCGGTGGCATGCTCGCGACGCCCCCTGGCGTCGGCCCGTCACCCGACTCGGCCACTCGCGGCATCTGCGTTGTACAATGCTCACTCTTCGCTGAGATGTTACTGGAAGGTTGCGACATTTCGGGGTGGGTTTGCTGTTGTCAAATGCGTGGCACCATGTCGAATCTTGCCAACGTAGCGAAGGAAGGATGGTATCTCTCTCTCTCTCTCTCTCTCTCTCTCTCTCTCTCGCTCTCTCTTTCTCTCTCGTGTTGCAACCCTCGTCGGCAAACTCCCACCGCCACGTCACGAAGCAAGAAGTCATAATCGTGCGTTTTATTTCTTGGTGATTCACACGTTCACGATGCGCTTCGTGCACACGTAGCTCTACCTGTGTAGCCGCTTCGCTCCCGCTACAGGGGGGTTCCCGTAAGCAGAAGCAAACGGGCTACACTGGTAGAGAGAGCTACGTGTACCGAAACTAGAGCGTGGGTTAATGGCGTCTTCGTTCATTCATATCAAATATGAATGCGACGCCATGTCTCGCACCGTGTGTTCGTGTGCATTTCTCTTATTGGCAAAAGCTCTTAGCCATGTACGTGTCTGAGAGTTCCCCAGTAATAACAACTCCGCGGGGAGACGTTGAACCCTGCGAACCGCATTATTTCGGTTGTGAACGAAGTGAACAGTACTTAATATTTTAAAAAACTGCCTCCGACCAAAATCTGCAGTAGCGGATGCCGTATACACGAAAGCGTTATTTTTGCGTTATACTGCAGCAGACCTACATTCCCAACGATGGGCAGCGTGTTTTCTAGTTGGTTATGAACCGAGGTGGATTTGTCATGCTGTTTGTATGTGTGGTTGTTTAGCAAACGTCTGACTGTACGGTACAGCACCTGCGATGCGTATGTAGTCAGTCGGTTGTCCCCTGCTGTTATTGTTAAATGTTTTTGCTCACTTCTCTGAGGTGTGCAATTATATATCTAAAGAGGAAACACCGCACGCGTATCTTTGCTCCAGTGATCACTTGTGCCTGACTCCTCGCTATGCAGATTTGTCTTGCGCTAAAAAACAAGTGATCGTGTCTGGGCAAAGTGCTGATTTACAGCTAGTATAGGTTACGTGAATAGTATGGTATACTGTTGTTAGTAACATTCCCCTTGTGTCCTTAGACCTAGTAGATTGTTGATAGGCTAGTTTCACCCGAGTTTGTCCCGTTATCGGTACGTACTGTTATGGTCGTTGAAATTTTAATTATGGCTGATTCTGGTAGCACGCAGTGGTCGCACTGCTGGACAGGATAGAGGTACATTCCTAATTATACGCCGCGTATGCTACATTCCAGGTTTATTAACGCTCAGGCGTGTGTCTGTGTGTATGCGCGCGCGCGTGCGTGCGTGCGTGCGTGCGTGCGTGTGTGTGTGTGTGTGTGTGTGTGTGTGTGTGTGTGTTCGATCGGGTTGCATGGGAGAGGAAGATATATTCTCCGCTTTCGATTTGTAATAGCTCCGTTTTGACTACCGCGTTCTCTGTGTTTGCTGCCGCGTTTCACACGCACGCGTAATCTCGTTGTTAAGTCGTTTGTTTAGCGAGCTTCTTCTTAGCGGGCGGGGGGGGCGTTTGGCTCTTGGTTAGGTGCGAGATCGGATTAGCATTCATTTCGCGATGGCAGCCGGCGGAGCAATAATTTACTTAATTTGATGCGCGCTGGCATGAGCGAGCGCAGCGACTGCCTGTGCAGATTAACGTACGCGCCACTTCTCCACAGTGGCCGAGAAACTGGCTTAGCGCACGAATGCAACGAGTGCCTTCCGTTTTAAACGGGGATTTAGCTATGATTAAGCTGCGATGCTGTTTTGCTATTACTAGCATGTCCGCTGAGCGGTTGGCCGGTGGCGACGCGGCTTGACGCGTGTCTAGGCACAATTTGTCCTAGGCAACAGTTTCTAAATCGCGGCAGAAAGTCATCTAGTGGGTGGGTCGATACATGCAGCACTGCCGTCTATGATGCGCGTAAGTGAGTTCGTTTAGCAACGCTTCCGGGCCATTGTTCGCGTGCTGAAGTTGCAAGCGTTGGACAGCCGCATCCTTCCGCGTTGCGTCTCCAGAGAGCTTGCGTGGCAATTGCCGGCGATGCAAGATACTTCGCGAAAAAAAATATCATGTTGCTTTACGTAAAGAAAGGCTGTGACACGATCCACGCCAATGTTTGATAGCTTACCTTGCATTTACGTCTATAATTATTAATTCCTATTTGTTTCGATTGTGAAAATCAAATGTAAAGCCGGTTCGCGTAGGTTGTGGCGGAGAAGGGGCAGCTTCCAAGTGGGCCAACTGGTGTGCAGTAACGCTCAACTTCCTATAATCACGCTCTGCTCGCTCTCTACTTCTCTTTTTTTTTCCCTCTCCTCTCTCGCCTCTCTCTCTCTCTCTCTATATTAG